CTTACTGTTTTCTCTTCCTCTCTTGCCCTCTCACCCTTCTAAGATCATCTTCCCACACTCCTGCTTTCTCCTGGTTAAAATATAACCGATTTTAAGGACCCAAAAAAGATTTTGTGGGTCTGCCTGAAGATAATTTCTGTGATGACATTTTTCCCCTACAACTGTAGGAAATCTCACAAAACATATAAAGAAGTAAAAATCATCTATAACCCTATTGTTCACATACTTTAAATATTTGATAGTTTTCTATCCAATCTTTTATGAGTTGTTTTTATAGAATTGGGATCATGCATTTTATAATACTTGGGCACAAGACAGAGCATGTAATAGACACATCCTGCTTTTCCCCGTACTTGGAAACCAACCACTTCATAGTTTTAAATCATGTGTTTTTGACTAAACAGGGTATTATGAACATTTTCCCAATGTCATTAATCTTCAAAAATAAGATTTTAAATGTATTATATTCCACTGAATGTTAAGCCATTATCTCTTTCCCCACTATAATAGTAAATTATTTCCTAGTCCCTATGTTACCTATCTATTCCCCTTTTTTTCCTACTTTAAATAACACTGTAACAAGCATTGTTATATCTAAATCTTGAACACATCAGTGATTAACCCCGTGAGAAAGATTCCTAGAAATGGTATATCCTAGGTTAGAGAATGAACATTTTAAATGCTTATGACACCTATTGCTATTGCCTTCCAGAAATTTTGTAATGAGCTATGTTTCATTACAGTAGTGAGTAAGGGATTGCTTTCTTTCCACTCCTATCATTGGTTGATTTTTTTCATTATCTGTTTGTTCACCTCTCATGGCCTTATCCCTTCTGTCTTGTTTTGGAACTGACTTTTTAGCTCTTCCCCTTTCCCCTGAAGAATCTAGCAGGGTCATAGTGCATCTGATAAGTACTTAGGAAGCTCTTCTAACTCCTGACAACTGTATAGTGTAGAACTCTGGATCTGGTCCTAATGGAAAGGCTTGCAAGTTTCATTTTACAAAATGTAAAATGAAAACACTTTTTCCTGATTATAAAACAATAAAAAATAAATTAATGAGAGTCATAGTAATATAGCTACCCAAAGAAAAACACTAATAATATTATGAGTTAGAGCCTTCCAGACATTCATGCTGTTTATACTCACACACATTAGATGTATGTGTGTTGAGTAATAATTACCCAAATGGGACCAGATTAAATGGTCTGTTTTATAACATTTAATATCTTCCTAATAAATTAAAATTTAGAGAGACAATATCATTTGGTAGTTAAAAGCATGGACATTGCAGCACTTCTACCTGGGTTAAAATCCAGTGCTGCCTATTTATTGACTTTGAGACCTTGAACAAGTCACTTTACTTCTCTATGCCTCAGTTTCCAGAATTGTTGAAAGAGGATAACACTTATTCCTATCTTCCCTAATAAGAACACTGTGAAGATTAAGACATAACACAGATACTTAGTATTATTCTGTGTTGACACTTAACTGTGTTAGCTATTAGTGTTTATATAATATACATATTTTAAAATATTCATTTATTTTGTAATTAGAGCTTCCCAGGTGGCGCTAGTGGTAAAGAACTGCCTGCCAATGCAGCAGACTTCAGAGATGTGGGTTCGATCCCTGGGTTGGAAAAATCCCCTGGAGGAGGGCATAGGTACACACTCCAGTATTCTTCCCTGGAAAATCCCATGGACAGAAGAGCCTGGCAGGCTAAACTCCATGGGGTCACACAGAGTCGGACACGACTGAAACAACTTAACACACATATTTTGTAATTACAAAATTGTAGAAGTAATAAGTAATTTTCATTATAGAAAATGAAAACATTGCAGAAATAAATAATGTACAACTTAGTTCATATGCACCAAAATCTGTCCATATGCACAATACTTACACCAATCCATTACTTAAACTGTGATTATCTAAGATAATGGAATTATGAGGGACTTCCACTACTTTTTTTATGATGACTTTTTTCATAATCGTAAGAAATCTCAAGAACATATATTTTCTAAATCAAAATAGGTTCATCATATCAGTATATATTTTTATAAGCTTATGCATACACATACACATTCTTGTAATTTTTCTTACTTGGTGATATAATTTAGACATCTTTCTATGTAAACGCTAGATTGATTTTGCTCATTCTTTTGGACAGCTGCATGATATTCTGTTGGATGGTTGTGTCACAATTTGTCTAACCATCTCCTTATTGGTAAACTTTTCCTCCATTACTTTTGCTATTACAAACAACACTTTAGTGAACATTTTTCCGTGTACATCTATGTGCATGAATGTGAGGGTTTTTATAGGAGAAATTTCTAGAAGTGGAATTACTGGTTCAGTGGGTATGTAGATTTTTAAAGGGTTTTCACACTGATTGCCAAATTGCCTTTCACAAACGTCATACACATTTAAACTCCCACCAGTAGTATATGACGATGCTTGTTTTCCCACACAGCAATGGGTATCAGCCTATGCTTTCATCTTTGTCCGTCTAATAGATGTGATGATATCTCTTTGTCATTTTAATTTTTTATTGGAGGATAAATGCTCTACAATGTTATATTGTTTTCTGCCACACAACAACACAAATCAGCCTTAATTTTCTTTTAATTGTGGTGAAGTTAATACTATTTTCATATGTTCGGTGATCATTTTTATTGCTTATGAAAATTGCCTGCTCATTGTCCATTATTGGCATGCCTGACTTCTTTTGTGTCTTGTTGTTGTTTAGTCCCTAACTTTTTTGTAACACCAAGGACTGCAGCCAACCAGGTTAATCTGTCCATGGGATTTCCCAGGCAAGAATCCTGGAGTGGGTAGCCATTTCCTTCTCCAGGGGATCTTCCTTACCCAGGGATCAAACCTGTGTCTCCAGCATTGCAGATAGGAGAATCTAGCTTTATCACTGAGCCACCTGGGAACAGGTTCTTTTGTGTCTTATTGATTTGTAAATACTTTATAATATTCATTATAGTAAGTCTCTGCCTAATATACATGTTGCATGTATTTTCCCTATTTTACTGATTTTTTTCAACCTTTTTTTCCTCTCTCTTCTTTAGACTGGATAATTTATACTGATCTGTCTTCAAGTTTACTCTTTCCTCTGTTATCTCTATTCTGCTAGTAAGCCATCCATTGAATTAATTTCAGATACTGGTCTTTTTTCCAGTTAAAATTTTCCATTTGGGTCTTTTTCTATATTTTCTATTTTTCTGCTAAGAGGTTCCCTCGTTTCATTTGTTGTGAGCATATTTTCCTTTATTCCATTGATCATAGTTATCAAAACTACTTTAAAGTCTTTACCCAATAATTCTAACATCCAGATTATCTAAGGGTTAATTTCTGTTGATTGTCTTTTGCCTTGAGGATAAGTGATATTTTTCTGGTTCTTTAAATGTTCGTTAATTGGGGATTGTATCCTGGTCATTGGCTATGTCTTGATTCTGCATTTTGTCTTAGGAACCTACCTGGGGTAGGCTCAAACTACAAACTCTATCTCACCTGTGTTGGGCAGGAGCCCAAGTTTCAGTTCATCTTTTAAATTTTTATCTGGACTGTTTGTGGTTTGCCTTGTATATGCCTAGCTCAGGGGTCACCCAGACGCTTAGGCAGAGTTAATATACAAATCTGGGTTCCGCTGCCTGACTTTCCTTTCCAAGACTTCTCCCACACTCTCTAGTGATTCTGGTTAATCCAGGGTTTGTTTGTTTAACTCCTCAGGTCAGAAAGATGTGGACTGTCTGTTGGAATTTTTACTGCTCTGCACTGTACATCTACTGCTGCTGTCCTTAGGAGCAAGGTCACCAAAATACAACTTGCTCCATGCTAGCCTCTTCCTCAAAGTTTTGACACCCTTCCAAAATCCTCCTACTTTGCTTACTCTCAGATAGTTATCTTTTGTCAGTTTGTTGTTTTTGCACAAGCGACTATCTATTATGAGCTTATTATTCCATGCTGGAAACAGAACTATAGTCTCTTTGTTTACTTGGTATATGAAAGCTTAATATTTTTACCTAGTCATATGTATCATTCTGAAGTTGGTTCTCTGCTTAAAACTATCTTTTCCACCTCATAAGAGGGAGGTGGGAGGGGGGACCGGGATGGGGAATACATGTAAAAAAAAAAAAAAGATACACTATGGTTGTGATAAAAAAATAAAAAAATAAAAAAAAAAAACATCCAACTATTTAAAAAAAAAAACTATCTTTTCCACCTCATGAATATAAAAAATTTTTTTTCAAGTTGAATAGAACTTGAATTTATGTCAGACTTACATTTTCTTCCAAGTTGGACCCAAAACTGCCAGTGCTAATGTAGTTGTTGTGGGATTGGAGAGGAGGAGAATAGAGGGCAGAATAAAGAATGAAGAAAGATTTGGATAACTGTTTACACCTGGTGAGGGAGGGGACCAATGACTGAAAACATGCAGATTGGGAGATGAGGGGCTCCACTGATGAAGAACATTTTAGGATTAGCATGTGCATTCTTCTATCCAGACCTCAACCTCAGGGCTTTGTGGCTCTTAGCCAGACCTGTCACTCTTCTGGACCCCATTCATTTTCATCCCACATGAAATACAGTAGCGTACCCCAACAGGATGCACAAGAGAAAGCTGTGTGGCTTTGCTCGCTGGGTCTTGGCTCTAACCTAGATCCATTCTGCTCCTCAGAAAGGCAGTAGAACCTGGTGATTTGGGAGTTAGGCATACCTGGGTCCACACTTTGACTTTGCATTGTTAGCTGCTTGCCTTCTCTGAGCCTCAGTTTCCCCTTTTATGAGATGAGCATAAAAGGAGTACCCATTTAACCTTGCTGTGAGAATTTAAGGAGACAGTGCTCGCCGAGGTCTAGCACAATAACTGGCCCAGAGTAAACTCACTTGAGTAGGAGGGCGCTGCAGTGTCAGATCAGAGATGTGGGGCTTTGCCATTCCTGTACTGTGTGGCCTTGGTCAAGCTCTGAAGCATGTGGTTCTGTCTCCAGGAATTTCCACGTCTGGAATGAAGCCTGGTTTGTGCGGCCTGACCTGGGCCCTTCGTACAATGGATGGCAGGTTCTGGACGCCACCCCTCAGGAGAGAAGCCAAGGTAACCAATCCTCTGTCAGCCTGCTGGTGCCCTCCTTCTCTGGGTTTGGCTCTAAGTCATGACCTCTCAATCTTTACAGTGGTGGAAAGCGGCACAGCAAGATCACCTAAATCTTCTCTGCCTTTGGAGGGCACAGAGAGGGATTAAAACAAAAATATTTTCAAAGTAGATTTTCCTCTTAATTGGCTTGGTTCAGGCTGCTATTTAAATGAATGACATCCCTGCTCCCACACAACTGCTGCAAAGGCCCTGGCCCATGCCCAGCAATAGGGAAGGGAACGGTCCCCTGCTAGCAGTGATTCTCCCATGCAGCCTCTAGTAGCCCATCCCTCCCAGCACAGAGACCTTCCATTTCCCTTTGCCTTGGGACTTAGCCCAGATTCCCTGGCTCAGCTCCAGGCCACTATGCTCACAGCCCCCAGCACCCCTCTCACCTTCCGGGTGCCCCCTGCTAGGCTGAGCTCTCCTTCTCTCAGGCTGGCCCTTCCCTGACCCTGTGTCCCTACCTGTTGCCACTCTCCCATCAGATCTTGGGCATTGGGCTCTCCAGGAACCTTTCCTCTTCCTTCCCTTGATCTCCAGAGCATTCTTGTCCGTTGCCTTCATTTTCAGTTGTTTCTTTCAAACTTAAAAAAACTATAAAAGTCGTATATGCACATGGTTAAAAAACAAATTCAAATCATTTCAAAAGGACTTACAATGAAAATGAAGTCTTACCCCCCTCCCTTGCTGCAACATTCTACAAGAAGCAATGAGATTCAGGGTACTTGGGTGTGAGGAGGGTAACTTCCAGATATTTTCTAGGCCACTATTCAAACTTCTCACTGCAACTCATTAGTGGTTATAAAATCAAGTTAATGAGTTGTGACCATTGTTTTAAGAAATGAAATAGAATAGCATGGAAAGGAGTGAGGAGAGGAAAGAAAAATAAACTATCAGAGTGTATTTATTGGATATTAAGAATAAGAATTGTCCTGTGGAATTTTTGTTTCAGGACCATATATGTGTCATGATGTAAAATCTTATTTCTAGAGATCATGGTAAAAAAAAAAAAGCTGAGAGTCACTGTCACTGTTTCAGACTTATAAAAGTGCATGTGTTTGTTTTATAAACACAAATGGAATAATATTCTTCTATTCTGCTGTAACTTGCTTTTTATCATCTGGGCATTTCACGAAGGAAACTATATCTGTGTATCTATACCTGCATCTACATCTATGTTCTTCCATCCACCCATCCATCTATGAATCTACTACCTATCTGTCCATCTCTCTATGTATTCACCCACCTACCTGCCTATCTGTCTGAGCTAGCTATGCTGAGTGCTCAAGAAGGGAGGTGATGGTCAGGGCTTGGGAGCCCAAAGAAGCAGGACATCTCTGTAGGCTGGGTTTGCAGAGAAGTCTTCCAAAACAGGAGGGAGAGATTTGGGGAAAATATTTGCAGAGTAGAAAAGAGGCAGCCCTGAGCACCAGTCAGACTTTCCTCTTTAGGAAACAGACTGAGGGCAGGGGGATAGCACAAATTATGCACCTACAGAATGCGAGAGTGGGCCGTCTTCTGTGGAGCTGAAGTCTGAGCAGAGTGCTATAGCCCAAAATAACAGTAGCCCCAGAGGGTCTTGCTGAGTGCCCAAAGAGGAGAGCAGACAGTCAGGGTTGAAGGAGTTTGGGGTAGAGGCAGGGTAGCTGGGCAGTGGGAAGGGCCCCCAGAGGAACAGGCCATGAGTGGGCTGTTGCAGAGGGGCCTGGCTTTGGCATGTATCCAACCTCTGCACCCTGGCCCCCAGGGGTGTTCCAGTGCGGCCCTGCTTCAGTGATCGCTATCCGAGAGGGTAACGTGGACTGGGACTTCGACATGCCCTTCATCTTTGCGGAGGTCAATGCTGACCGCATCACATGGATCTACGAGTCAAATGGTGCCTTGAAGAAGAATTCCTCAGACACTCACAGCGTTGGCAAATACATCAGTACCAAGGCGGTGGGCAGCAACTCTCGCATGGATGTCACCGAAAAGTACAAGTATCCAGAAGGTAGGAGGGGCTTGGATGGGCTGTGCCACCCAGGGCCTGTCGGTGGGAAGGCAGCCTTGAGGCGGGAGAAGGAAAACTTGCTCACGCTCCTCCTGCTTTCTCAGCCAGCTGTGCCTGAATGTTAGGACTGCTCCCTGGCATCTAATGCCCAGTTCCCCAGGCTGTTTCCCGTGGGGAAAACCGTCATAGGCAGACGCAGTGCCAGTGGAAGTGCGCTGAAGGACTCAGGCAGCTGTCAGTCTAGCGCATCTCCAGCTGTGTCCCTTTGCCAATTGCACCATTGGGATGACAGCCCCATGATTGAATATCACAGGGGGAAACATGGCCCCCACAGAAGACCCCCTGGGGTCTCTGTCAGCCCACTCCCCTTGCCTCCAAGAAGCACAAGCAGGAAACATCCTCTGAAAAAGGAAATGGACGGTCCCCAGAGACATGGGGACTGCTTTGTCCGCTTCAGTGGCCTCCCTGAAAGCCAGATGAGGTGGGGACACCTCCTACACCACGAGGACAATGCCTGAGTCCCTGAGACCGTCAGCATCCACTTGAGTGCTGATCCCCTTAAAGTCATCTAGAAGCCTAGTTGGTAGGAGGCTGCCTTTAACACAAATTACATGTGTTGCTGTTTCAGAAGTTGCTTTCAGTGTTAGCAAATTAATACCTCTGAGGAATCTCAATAGTGACAAAATTCTACATTTGCAGGTGATGTTCATTTTAGAAATAGGCCAAAGTGAATTAACGCTTGCTCTAGCAGGCCAGTCACTCCTTAATGGGATCAACATGTCACTCTAAACTCTTTGAAATAGTTGCTTTAGCGGGTCCCCACTGCCGGTTCTGAGCTGTCAAGAAAAGTGCTCTCGAGAAGGTACCCACGCGCACCCTAAAGTAAACCCCACAACTCGGTGCCCTGGATGGCTGCTGCTGCTGCCTGCCATATACAAAAGAGGGAAGCTGAGCAGGGGGGGTAGGCTCCAAGTCCAGGGGATGAGCTGCTGGGTGTGGGTCCTTTGCAGGCACCAGAGTAATGAGATTGGTGCTTTCCGTTAGACCCCAGTGTAACTCTGCAGCCCATTCCTCCCACTGGGGTCAGATGGCCTTTCTCTCAGTCAGCAAACAGGTACTGAGACCTCCCCGAGTGCCCATTCATGCTCAACTCAAGGAGGCCAGGAAGCACCTGCAGATGGGTGCCTGCCCCTCCAGAGCTCACAGGCTGGGGGTCAGGCTTGAGTGTGACAAGCATTCTCAACAGTGTTCTGATGTAGAAACAAGGGTAGGGGCCAAGGAACAGATAACCCTGGGCAGGAGGTGAAATCTGCCCTATCCCTTATAGCTGTGCAATCTCAAGCACAGTTCTTAGCATCTCTGATCCCTCACTTCCTCACCTGTAAAATGAGAAGAGCAAGGCCTCTCTTCAAGGGGATTTAAATGAGTTATAGTGTATAGAATGTATCAAGGGCAGTGCCTGGCCCATAGTGAGGACTTAATAGATAGTGATGATTTTTATCAACTTGAACATCTGCAGCCTCATCGGAATGACCTCCCAAAGGGACTTTTGAAACACACTGCCTATACAGTTGTGTGATTCTGTGGGGCGCCTTATCTGAGTGTCACACCTTAATTCCACTTCTTGGGGGTTCTGGCTGTCCCAGCCAAACCTCCTGAGCAATGAGGAGGGACCACAGCCAGGTGGAGGAATCCCTGCTGGACCCCTGGCAATGGCCCAGCCCCTGTGTGACAGCAGGACTGATCACCCCACCTGTTGTTGCCCAGTCTCCCTTACCTAATGATGCTAGCTTGTGTCTGATGGCCGCAGGGAGGAAAAGCCCATAAAATGGGTTGCTAAGCATTTGCGCAACAGCAACACCAAAGGAAAAAACAGTAGCAGGAAGCTTAGTCTTGAGTAAGCGTGGCAGGTGACCTATATAGGTGTCTAGGCTCTGAGACTCATTGTGCAAACACAACTGCTTCGAGGTTCTGGGCACAGAAGCTCAGCTCCCTGCTCAGCCATCAGACCTGGGTGTGGATTTACAGCTCGGCTAGAGAATGGGAAGGCACCGAAAGGAACCCAGCCCACCAGGAGCTATCAACTTGGGTAATTTGGCTGCCTGTCTTCTTTTCAGCAGGATGTGTGGGAGGAACTACTAGACTTCAGGTCTAGACTTCTGGGGACTAGCCCTCTTTCCACCCCTAATTCTCAGATTACCAACTACTTGGACCAGACACTCCTCTTTAGGACCTTAACTCTAACGTTATGTGCTTAGATGTCTTTGGGTTCTCTGCCAGTTGTTATATGTAACTTATAGGAAAGATTTCACTAAATGATAAAGTGCTTCTAATAAGTCATCTTAAAATTTCACAGGTTTGTTGGGGAGGTTAGGGGCAGGAGCGTAAATGGACATTCTTCTTTGTGTTTCTCTGTCCATCTTACTGGAAGGTCAATATCTTCTCCTTGTTAGTGGATCTATCTTCCGGTCAAGGTAAGGAGACTTATGTGCACTGTGTGGTCTACCCTGACTCCAAGAGGCTTGGAGTTGGTTATCAGCTCTTAGTGCCCCAAGAGCCGTGATTTTTTGGCCATAATCTTGGCCATTTTCTGGGGACTATTTATAGTATCACATTCAGCAGTACCCACAGCAAAGGCTGAACCCATCCTGCGGTTCAGCCTTTGTGTTTTTGAAACCTGAACTCTCTCAACAGTTAAACTAGTCGTAACCTGGAACCATACCAACCGTGGGAAGTTCTTGTCAACTGACATGGACAAAAGTTCCACTCTCCAATTCTTAAAGCATCATTAGAAATAAAGCAGAATAACATGATAAAGTGGTTTGGAATTTTTTTCAGTGAGGTAATTCTAAATCATAGTTTTTTCACTTATGAACTCATTCTAACTTTTTTAAGCTCAGACTTGTTATTTTTTAAATTATCAGTTTGTTCTTTGGGCTTCCTTGGTGGTTCAGATGGTAAAGAATCTGCCTGCAATGCAGGAGACCCGGGTTCAATCTCTGGGTCAGGAAGATCCTCTGGAGAAAGGAATGGCTACCCACTCCAGTATTCTTGCCTGGAGAATTCCATAGACAGAGGAGCCTGGTGGGCTACAGTCCATGGTTGCAAAGAGTCAGACATGATGACTGAGTGACTAACACACACTTTGTTCTTTAAGTCTCACAAAGGACTTTTTATTAAAAGAAAGAAAGGAGGGAAGGAGGAAGAAATGAAGGGAGGGAGAGATGGAGAGAGTGAAGGAAGGAAGGGATCTAACCTAATTAACCTAAGCAAAATATCAGGCTATGTATTTTATGCAACTTTCCCTACAGCTCGATGGAAATTTGAGCTGATTGGAAGAGTTGGGCTGTGAGTTAAGGAGAATGAAATGGAGATCTGGGGGAGGTCAGACACTTGCTTGGAGGTCAGACACATATTAAGGAGGGTGAAATGGAGACCTGGAGGAGGTCAGACACTTGCTTGGATTAGAATCATTGCACAAGCAGCAGAACCAGTGTTAGTTCCAGGCCACCTTTCCACGCAGGGCACTGTTCTTTGTTCACATTGCCACCACATCTCTGAGATACTTCTCTGTTTTCCCACCACACAGGTTCCAGCCAGGAAAGACAAGTATTTGAAAAGGCTTTGGGGAAGCTTAAACCCAGAGCATCATTTAGCGCAACATCTGCAAGCAGACTGGCAAGAGAGGAACGGGAGCCTAGCATATCTGGGAGGTTCAAGATCACTGGTGTACTGGAAGTGGGCAAAGAAGTCAACCTGATCCTAATGCTCAAAAACCTAACAAGTGATACCAAGACAGTGACGGTGAATATGACAGCCTGGACCATCGTCTATAACGGCACACTTGTACACGAGGTGTGGAAGGACTCTGTCACTAAATCCCTGAATCCCGAAGAAGGTAACACAAACTGTAGGCTGCTGGGATGCCATATATTCATGGTAGCTGGTATTCTCTTGGGGTTGGAGCATTCCTATTGGAACCAAATCAACTGGTTAAGGAAGGAAACAGCCCATGGTGAGCAGTACAAGTGGGGGTGGTGCCAACCAAAATACTTTCATGCCCTGGAGGAGAAAGGAGGAAGACATTGGCATTTAATAGACAAACCACAATATTCCTCACATACCATTTTGCCCAATGTGCAGAGCGCTTCCTTATATGCTCTTATGTACTATCACATTTGACCTTCTACAAGGACAGATTTCAGCATTCCTTTTACAGAGCTAGAAACTGAGGCTCGGAGAGATTGTGATTCCCTTAAAAGATTAAGTGTCATAGCTAGTAGGTGGCAATGCCAGATCCTGGTCCTAGACTTCCTAACATGAAATCCAGTGCCACCACCCATTTCCTAGGTTTTACTGCTGTGACCCCTTCCCCTTTCCAGCTCCCACCCGGCCTTAGCCCCATCCCACAATGAATCACTTTCCGGGTTTGACCCTAGAAGGGTTGCAATATACCATGAGGGCCTGAATTCCCACCAGTGTTCCCCCACAGCTCCAGTGGGTGGGTGAAGTTTCTTGATTTCCAGCGACAGTGATGGGTTTTCTTGGAGGCCTGAGCCTCTGGGAGGAAGAGTGAGTTGGTTCTCCTGGGTAGCACAGATGGGAGGGGAACGAGGTGGAGCAGAGAGAGGCTGGGGCTGTGAAAGGATTAGAAGGCAGGTGTGCCCTGTCAAAATCCTTCAAGCTGTTATGAAAAGCCTGGACTTAACAAAGCAGATTAGTAAGGGTGGGGCGGCTATTTGCTTCACATAAGGAACTAACAAAAACTGATTACTTATACAGCCCATCTTGAAAAAATTTTGTCTACAGAGAAACTGAGTGGTATCACACCTGTCAGAAAGCAGCATCCCCTAGCAACCTGTCTTCTGGCAGAACTAAGCAGAAATCTTCCTTATAACAAAAGTACCCAGCTAGCTGTTATTTACCTTCAAAGCTCAAGAGAAGAGCTATTTTTGTAGGCCAAAAATAAGTTATGTGAGGGAAATGCTTTTTAAAAAGCTGTACTTCTACAAGAGGCAACAGAGTTAAATGGGAAGGCAGGAGGAGGCAAGAAAAATGGTCTTGGAGTCCTGACATCATCACCTACTCTCTGGATGACTGTTAAGCCTCCCTCCTTTCCTGAGCCTCAGGGTTCACTGGCCAAGGGAGCTGGACCAGCGGATGCCAGGGCCTGTCATCTCCATATTTGGGGCAGGCTGGGTAAATCCCTCCAGTGCTAAAAGCAGAGACGGCTCCCTCATTACAGCCTCACCTCAAGGAGTGTGTGACCTGTAGGTGCGGGGCAGCCCCCAACCACCTAGCATGACTGCATGAGGAAGGGGGAGAGCACCCAGAGGCAGGCGAGGCCCCCCGGTTGCTTGCCCAGTGAGTCAGAGAGGGGCCTTGAGGCTTGGGGCGGAGCCAGAGAAACGGAGAAAAGCTGGGGAAGGCCTTTCCATCTGAGGGGAGCTTGTGACTCAGCGCATGGCGGTGGTAAGGCACCTGTGTTGTCAAAAGGATAATGAGAAGTGTGGGAAGGAACAGTCTTTTGAGGAAGAGGTTGACACAGGACCATACTGGGGGGTCTGAACTTTATTCCTGAGGCAGTGAGGGATCACAGGAGATTTTTCAGGTGGCCCAGAAGAAGAGTGACATGATTTGGGGGAAAAGTGCTTCTAAAGCCCACCTGACTGGTGTGTGTGGGTGACTTGGAAGCAGGAGAGACCAGAAGTAGGGTGGTGGTTCAGATGCTGTTGCAATAGGATCCCAGGCTATATGGTCACCTGAGAGGACCTAGCTCTTATGTAGCCAGCCCCTGGCTTCACTTGCTAGCTATTATCATGTTGTCATCATTACTGTTTTCCTTATTGGGCAATGAGTTAATACTCATATTCTTCCCTGCCCCTTAGATGGAAATTTGCCCTCTGATATTTACCAGGACAGGGAAGAAGCCTGAGGGAGGAAATCCTGAAGGAGGATTCCTCCTGGAATCCACCCAGCCAGCCAGCATCTTGGTCTCAGGGCCCCCGCTCTGCAGCTGGTGTGAAGCAGGCGGGTGTTCCCCCAGGGCCCGGCAGGGGGTATTCAGGCAAGCCTGGGCTCCAGGTGCTCCCGGCCAGCCCACACTGGCTCGGCTTGGCATCAGCTTTTAAGGTTTCAGAAGCCAACCCCACCCCCTCTCACCCTGCTCCCTCGTTTCTTCTTCCAGAAATAGAGCACCCTGTAAAGATCACATATGCTCAATACGAGAAGTACCTGAAGGCGGACAACATGATCCGGACCACAGCCGTGTGCCAGGTCACCGACGAGCCTGAGGTGGTGGTGGAGAGGGATGTCATCCTGGACAACCCCACCCTGACCCTCGAGGTAAAGGGATGCTGAAGGGGCACTGCTCTGTGCTAGCCCAGCCCTCCCAGACCACAGGGAAAGCCCTCTCTGCCGACAGGCCAAGCACAGGGCCCAGCTTGGCTCCAGCCCCTGCCAAAAGATCAGCCAAGAGTTCTGCTCAGAGCAGTGTCCTTGGGAAATCCCAGTGGTCCAGTGGTTAGGACTCCATGCTGTCACTGCCAAGGGTGCAGGTTCAATCCCCAGTCAGGCAACTAAGATCCTGCCAGTGGCGCAGCACAGCATGTCCTTGCTCCCTCGCTGAAAGGATCCATGGGCAAGTTGCCCTGTGGCTTCTTTGGTTGCAGCTCTAGACCCACTGGGGATGCCAGCTGAGGAGCAGTTGGAGGGCTCTTCAGCTCACTTGCTCTGAACATCTGCTGTGTCCTGGGCTGTGCCAGGCTCAGGAATCACAGAAGACCTCAAGAGCTGGGTCCTGCCTTCAGGGAACCCACAGCCCAGCCCCCAGACACATTTGTAGAGCAAATCAGAAATGGGCATAACTCACATGCATCTCCTGACTCTAGACCCCAGAGATACAAAATTGTAGACTCTTAGAAACCTGGTCTTAAGCTCTCATGCCCTTACATTTCACACACGAGTAAACTGAGACCCAGAGAGAAAAGAATTGCCAAATACTGCCAGAGCAAGAGCTAGACCTCAGGCCCTTTCCAGGACATCTGGCCAATCCATACCCAGCAGCAGCATCTCCCCAGTTGTTGACAATGAGGATGCCTCATTTTTTTGGCTGCAGGCTCTGCTCCCAGGCTCCGTCTCAGGAACGCAGGCATACGGGCTCTCACAGGTTTATGAGAGGCACTTGGGACCACTCTATCCCTTCCTCAGCACTGGTGCTGGAAGTACGGGGCTGACTCCAAGCCTATCCCTACCCACACCAACCTCAGCCCAGGGTGGAGGCAGCCAGAGGCAGACAGCCCAAATCTAGGGATGACAGGCTGGCAGGCAAGGACAGGCAGATGAATGGATGAGGAAGATGGGGTCTTCCCTGGGGACCCCATAGAGAGCTTTATGGGTTAGACTCCTCACAAGTCTGCTGCACCATCTGCCCCAGCAGTCTAGACAGCAATTGCCTTTTTTGTTGTTGTTGTTTTTCCATCACAATGTCACTAGCATCCCTAGCCCCAGATTTCTAGAGTAACTCGTGACTGCCTTCGTTCCACCCTCCCTAAGCTACACCCCAGCTTCAGGGATTCCTGATGTCAGACAGATGGCAGGGGGACCCAGGGCCCGCTCCTTGACACTAGCCTGAAATAGAGCTCTCTCATTGTCCTGGTTAGTTTGGACTGTGCTTCAGAATGGGGGCCAGAGTGAGCCACCATCTCCAAGGTTAGGGGGAGGAAGCCACCCCTGTTCTAGGCCCATCACGGTGGTTGTGAAACAGAAAGAGGCCCCTCCACGAGCAGGACCAGAACAGAGCATCTAGGCTCCAGGCTTGCCTTCTGTCCCACCCACCGAGTTTTCATCCACAATTGTAGAAGCCTCTCCTGTTTCCTAGGGTGTTTCCACGAATCGTGCCCCACTCCTGTAGAATGACAGAGAGCAAGTGCCGTTTGCCATTTTGGAGGCTGTGAAATGAAACATTCAGGGTGAAAGTTATCAGTGTTTGATAAAGTTAGTTTCTCCCCCATTATATCTCCTTATCCAGTATCCTCAAACTTGCTTATAGCTTTCTCTTTTTTTCAAAAATTTGCTCTACGTCTTTTAGATGTCCATATCAAATCAGCTTCATCTTTCAAGAGAACGTTAACATCTTTTAAAAGGAAATCAGAATACACACAGCCTGGGAATTATTTAATCCTTTTTTTAAATATCTGCTCTTTCTTCTTTCAGACATCTTTGTATGAATTTGCTCTTAGCACAACTTCTCCTTTACTTTAGCCTTCAGAGAATCAAGATGATCTAATCTTGACTGAATGAATTAATGCAGAGCTGACTCAGAGCAGGGCATGTGGGTGATCTGTATGAAAAGATAATAATTTGGGCAACACCCTATTGTCTTATTTTTGATTGGGATTAGGCATTGAGGCCTTTAGAACCAGATCATACAATCTGAACTATATTTCAAAGGCTGAGGTCCTTCACATTGGCCCATGACCTACTGACAATATCAGACACAGGTTTCTGGGGTGGCTCCTATCCTCTTCTTTGGGTGTATGTATAGATTTAGGTCAATAGGATAGAGTGCTAAGCAGCCATAAAGAAAGGAAAATAAATATAGGAAAATCTCAAATTGAATATCAGTGTGAAAAATATGGCAACATTTATATATATTCTTGGGTCCCAATGGCATAAAATTATGCTTCACCCTTCAAATCATGTCATACACCTAAATGAGTTCCATGGGAGAAATTGTGGTATAGACCATGGTCTCTAAAACATTTCAATTATGCACAAATTATCGGCAGGCATTGCAAAGTCTAGCAAGAAGAGAAAATGGCTCTGGAACCAGAAATCTCTCAGTTATTGAGTCAATCTGAACTGCAGGTTTATTACTATAAAAGGGTTGCAGGGAGAATTGGTGGCAAGAAAAAGGAAAGCCAGATGAACAAAAAGCAGCTACCTCTGCTGCTGCTGCTAAGTCACTTCAGTCGTGTCCAACTCTATGTGACCCCATAGACAGCAGCCCACCAGGCTCCCCCATCCCTGGGATTCTCCAGGCAAGAACACTGAAGTGGGTTGTCATTTCCTTCTCCAATGCGTGAAAGTGAAAAGTGAAAGTGAAGTTGCTCAGTCATGTCCGACTCTTCGCAACCCCATGTACTGCAGCCCACCAGGCTCCTCTGTCCATGGGATATTCCAGGCAAGAGTACTGGAGTAGAGTGCCAGTGCCTTCTCCGCAGCTACCTCTAGGGATCCTCAAAAGAAAAATCTACCCGTCACCTAGTTTCAGTTTCTGTTTCCAAAGCGCTTTCCTCTGCATCCATGATCTCATTTGTTCCTTTCTAGTCCAAGGAAGGAGGAGGGGGAGGGATGAGCCCTCTTTATCAGGGAGGCAGTCAAGGGCCAGGGAGGTGATGTATCTGCTCAGGCTTGGCTGCTTCTCAGCAGGAGTGCAAGCTTTCATCTTTGGGAGCAAACAAAATAGTCCAGGTTGCTTCTCTGACCAGCCCCTGATAAAGGACCCTGTGCAGACCACATGTCTGGGAAGTGGGGGCTGCCCTTCCCAAGATGAAATGAGAAAGGACCTCCGAACCCAGCTGGGAACTTCAGTGCTCTCAGCTACTGAAACCTGCCACCTCTCCCTCTGGGCTTGGGTGTCCTGTCTGTAGCCTGGGAATGACAGCAATTTCTTAGGAACCCCCTGCATGGATGGCACTGGCACTTAGGAGGACTAAACCAAATGGTCCTCCCTTCCTTTGTCCCCAGCGATATCTTTCCCATGACCAAGTCTCAGGCACCACCCCATCGGCTTTCAAGGGCAGATGAGACGAGCAGTCTAGCCCTGACCCTGTCAAGCCCTCTCCCCGCAGGTGCTGGACGAGGCCCGGGTGCAAAAGCCCGTGAACGTGCAGATGCTCTTTTCCAACCCACTGGATGAGCCGGTGAAGGACTGCGTGCTGATGGTGGAGGGCAGCGGCCTGCTCCTGGGCAGCCTCAAGATTGAGTGAGTCCCACACTGAGGGGCTGGTAGGGGATGGTGGGATAGGGTCAGAGGGACCTCCCCGGAGCCCCAGGCAGGGTAGACAGAACTCTGCTAGCCTCTGAATTTGGGAATCTGCCCATAGGGATGCACACTTGCATTTGGTTTAGGGGTTCACCAAACTTGAACTCAAAAGAAGTCCAGGCCTTCAGTGCTTGGAGCTGGTCCTTCTCTCTGGGAGTTCATGGGACCCCTATCTTCCCTTACTGAGGGGGTCCCAGGGCTGAAAGGGCTCAATGACCCAGGGTGGCAGCTAGAGGGAGTTGAAGGAGCAGTGACCTTGACCAGAGCAGGACTTGAGGCCTCACACTGACTCCTGCCCTTCCCCATCAGCGTGCCAGCCCTGCGCCCTAAAGAGCGGTCCCGTGTGCGTTTTGAGATCCTGCCCACCCGGAGTGGCACCAAACAGCTGCTTGCCAACTTCTCCTGCAACAAGTTCCCCGCGATCAAGGCCATGCTGTCTGTTGATGTGGCTGAGTGAAGGGCCCAGGTGGCCCCATACAAACTTGGGAACACGGAGCAGGCAGGACTTGCCTGTGGAGTGAGCCCCTGCCATACTCATTATCCAGCCTGGGAAACACTCCATCCCCCAAGGCGGCCTGGATCCGGAACTCCAGCCTGCAGCACACACCCCTTCCCTCGCTCCCAGGCTGGGCTGGTTCCATCCTGGCCCATCACTTGATCACTTTTTGCACGTTCCCTGAGCTTCTCCCCGATGCTGCCTGGTGTGTGAGCCCCATGGCCCTGCTCAGCCCTTACGCCCTCAATGTTGTGGGCACGGAGTGGCACCTGACCCAGTGACTCTCCAAATGGATCCTGGGGGAGAAGACGGACTGGACTGTGTGCTGATCCCCAGCCTGCAGTTGGCACTTTCCTGCTCCTCCCCTGGGTCACTGTGGAGGTTGGGGGGATGATGGTTAGCCATCCATTGTGACACTCACAACCACCCTCAAAATAAATGTTAAAAAGAGTGTGATTACACAGCACTGACTCTACAAGACTGCTGCTTCGCCTAAGGTGGTGGAGAAGGAGACAGTGGGGCTGGGGCCATATCCTTCTGGAGGAGGGATGGCATTGAGGAAGCTGTGCTCTCCACGTTCCAATATCCAAAAGGAGTGGGCCGGTTCCCTGTGGCTCCAGGTGCAAAACTAGGGAGACATTTCACATCAGTTTAGGAAACTGCACTAAGATGATGTCCAAAAATAGATTGACTGCCTTGGGAGGGAGTGACTTTTCTAGGCAGGTTCAGACATTGTGGAGCTAAGGAAATCCTTCCAGGACCCTCTACGGGCATCGGAGTGAGAAGGGACTTCAGTCTTCACTGGAACCTTCTGCAAAGCAGCTGTGGGTGGTGGCCCAACCTCTGCTCACACTGGGCTAACGCCAACTTGTGCCACACACCTCCTCTTGCAGCCAAAGCAAGCTAACTCCACAGGAACCTTCTCTGCCTTCACACATGCTCTCATGGTTCCTTAGTCTGTGCCCCTTGAAATCACCCCAAGCAGATCCCATAGTCTTCCATCACCAGTGCTGACTAACCTCATTTTGGCGATCATGCCTCACTGGTGGAACATAAGGGACCAGTCCCATCTAAACAGAAGCTTCAGCCTCACATCCAGCTCAGAGTTTCTTCCCTATGCTCAACTCAGGCCTGACCCAGGCTTGCAGGAGGCACTGTCCATGCCCTCCTCTTACTTCCTCCTTCTTCTTTTGTTGCTTGATCCATTAGAGTTGGAGCAGGGAAAGAGGAAATTTAGAGAAAAACCATAAAGTTCCATTTCACTGGTGCTGATGCAGTACGGCCATGGAAGCCCAGCGCATGGCTGGTGTGTAAATGCAGGCTTTCTGCACTGTGTCCCCCCAGATTTGGGCCCCCAGAGGTCTCCCCTACCTCTAACTGCACTGGAAGTGTGGTCCTATAGTGACGGCCTGAGGCCCGTTCCGTTCGTGGGCTCTACTGCTCTGCCCTAGCTGCCTCCTCTCCCCTTCTCATCTCAACCTGGTCCAGCCTCAGCTGCCCAATTCAAGTGCCCCGGGTGGGCAGTCAGCACCAGAATCTGTGTCCAGGTTCGCTCCCAGTGCCAAGGAGCTCTCGCCAGGGTCCGTTTCTGGTGTCTGAATGCAGCTGGGCCTCCCAGTCTCTGTAGGACAGCAGGCTCCCAGCTATGGAGGGGGAACCTCATCTTGTCTCTTGAAGCTTTGCCCCTCTCTCAGACACCCCTTGGGGCTGGGCTCCAGTTCAGAGTGAGGAGGGGCGGGGTTAAATAGACATACTTCTGCTCTGGTTTCTATCAGAAACAAGGAAATCCAGAGGTTTCCATTTCCCCCCATCTCCATGAGGCCTGTCCCAGACCTTAACTCTGTCAAGCATTAGCCAGTGTCTCCTGAGTGCGTCCTTTCTGCCATTCTCTCTCCAGGGAGATGAAAAACCAACAAGAGCATGACCCTGCCTTTGGGTTCCCATCCTCAGGGAAACCTCCTAAGGTGTGATGGGAGAAGTCCATGTAGAATTTATAATCAACACCAAGCACTTGTGTCTTAGAGCTATAGCTAAACACCTCTCCACCAACTTGGCTTCTGAAGAATTTAACAATAAAACAAAGTAACAGCAGGCCAAGGCCACAGCACCACATTTATTTCTGGTAGACTTAAAGCTAGAGGTGGTAGTGAAGTATGAGATGCAGTGGGCCTGCTGGCTGAACCCCAAGATCAGGTGGACTTGTTCCATTGGTTAGGATCTGTGCTCAGCGACCACAGCAGGGAAACCCAAACTGCCAGGGTCCTAAACAGGATGGGCATTAATTTCTCTTGTATAAGAGCCAAGGGAAACAGGGAGACATAGGCTTCCTTGTCTCACCTCACTGTCATCCTCCACATGTAGCTTCCACCTACAGGTTCCAGGTGACTGTTACACCTCAAGGCAAAAGCCACAGGCTGTCCAGCAGGAAGGAAGAAAAGGCAAATCGATGGGCCCCCTCTTTCCCATCGAGGGGACAATCTGAAAGTCAAAAGTTGAAATTGTACATTTCACTTCTGCAAACATCCTATTGGCCAAAGAAACTAAAAGTGTTTTGTTTTGTTCTTTTAATGATTCACACTGATATATTTCTAGCCAAACTGACTGGGAAAAATTTAACAATATACAAATTACAAATATCATAAGAAAAGCTACAGCTATTTAAAGGAAATGTAGGAATATGTGAACAACGTTTTGCCAATAAATCAGGCAACTTAGATAAAATGAATTCCTTAAAAGACACAAATTATCAAAATTTATTCAATAAAAGTAAATATTCCCTGTATCTATTGAAGAAGTTAAAATTAGAGTGAAAACCAGCAAGAACTGTCTAGGAAGCTAACCAGCCACAGAGCAGGTGGTTGTTTTGTAAGTATGTTTTCCTGTGGTTTGTTATACAGGAAAGGATCCCTTTTTTTCCATTTCCATGCATACATTTATGTGCTCTCCAGGAAAATGTTCCCTCTTCTGAGAAACCTTCTCCATTTCCCTCCCACCTCACTGCACCCAAACATAGTTGACCCCTCCTTCATCTATGACTCCCTTCACTGTGTCTTTTTAGACCACTTGGCTTAAAGTCATCTGGGTCATCTCTCCCCATCTTAGACTAGTACTTGTCATGGGAAAAAAACAGGTTTCCTTTAGCTCTGCATCCTCCATACTTAGCAGTGTCAGGTGTAGATGAAGTGTTCATAGATATTCACTAAAGACCAAAGAAGTAAATGATATTGTAGATGAATAAATGAATGAATGAATGAATGAAATTACCAATTGGAATCACTAAAAAAAATGTAATATCTAACCTTCATTGAGAGGATAAATTTGTAAGTTACTGTTCTAAGGATTTTTGAAAATCTATTGAGTGCTTGCTATGTGCCAGATATTGTGCTCAATATTTCATATCCATTATCTTAGTGAATCCTATATACCATTTTTGAGTAGCAATCATTATTATTCTTATTTTTGTTCTTTCCCTTTCTCCTTAAATAGATTTTATTTTTTAGAGTAGTTTTAAATTCATGGCAACATTGAACAAAAGGTACAGACATTTCTCATATTTCCCCTGCTCCCACATATGCATAGCCTCCCCCATTATAAATATTCCTACTGAAATGGCAAACCACTTCAGCATTCTTACCTTGAGAACCCTATGAACAGCATGAAAAGGGAAAATGATATGACACTGAAGATGAACACCCAGGTCGGCAGTTGCCCAATATGCTACTGGAGAAGAGCAAAGAAATGATCCCAGAAGGAATGAAGAGGCTGAGTCAAAGTGGAAATAAAATCCAGTTGTGGATGTGACTGGTGATGGAAGCAAAGTCCATTGCTGTAAACAATATTGCACAGGAATCTGGAATGTTAGGTGCATGAATCAAGGTAAATTGAAAGTGGCCAACTAAGAGATGGCAAGAGTGAACATCAACCTTTTAGGAATCAGTGAACTAATATGGACCAGAATGGGTGAATTTAATTCAGATGACCATTGTATCTACTACTGTGGACAAGAATCCCTTAGGAGAAATGGAGTAGCCCTCATAGTCAACAAAAGAGTCCAAAATACAGTACTTGGGTGCAATCTCAAAAATGACAGATGATCTGTGTTCGTTTCCAAGGCAAACCATTTAATATCACAGTAATCCAAGTTTATACCCCAACCACTAGTGCAGGAAGAAGCTGAACAGTTCACGAAGACTGGCAAGACTTGCTAGAACTAACACCAAAAACAAGACATCTTTTTCATCATAGGGGATTGGAAAGCAAAAGTAAGAAAACAAGAGATATCTGAAGTAACAGGCAAGTTTGGCCTTGGAATACAAAATGAAGCAGGGCAAAGGTTAACAGAGTTTTGCCAAGAGAATGCACTGGTCATAGCAAACACCCTCTTCCAAAAATGTAAGAGATGACTGTAGACATGGACATCACCAGATGATCAATAACAAAATCAGATTGATTATACTCTTTGCAGTCAAGGATGGAGAAGTTCTATACAGTCAGCAAAAACAAGACCAGGAGCTGACTGTGGCTCGGATCATGAACTCCTTATTGCAAAACTCAGACTTAAATTGAAGAAAGTAGGAAAAACCACTAGGCCATTCAGGTATGACCTAAATCAAATCTTTAATATTATACAGCAGAAGTGACAAATAGATTGAAGGGATTAGATCTGATAGACAGAGGGTCTGAAGAACTATGAATGGAGGTTCATAACTTTATACAAGAGGTGGTGATCAAAAACATCCCCAAGAAAAAGAAATACTAAAAGGCAAAATGGTTGTCTGAGGAGGGCTTACAGATAGCTGAAAAAAAAAGAAGAGAAGCAAAAGGCAAAGGAGGAAAGGAAAGATATACCCATCTGAATGCAGAGTTCCAAAGAATAGCAAGGAGAGATAAGAAAGCCTTCCTAAGTGATCAGTGCATAGAAATAGAGGAAAACAATAGAATGGGAAAGATGAGAAATCTCT